AAACTCATAATGGTGTCTTTAATAAAAAAATAAAAAAGTCCCTACCAGTGTGGACTATTGTAACTGAAAAGTTGGCTATATTGACAATAAACAAGGGTGATCGACATGTGAACAAAGGCTTTTAAATTTAGGAAAAGGGCAGTCCGTTATGTATTTGAAAAGCCCCTAAAGGAACAATATGTAAAAAAAAAAAAAAAATATTTAATTGACCCGATATTGAGATTTTCTCAATATCCCCAGAAAGGACATTTTGTAGCCAAACTTTTCTAACCTTGAACTTTGCAAAGAAGGCTTGCACCCAGGACATACTTGAAAACGAGAGAACTCTAAATGTATCTTTCCTGGTAAAATATTTTATAAACAAATATGTAATGCATATTACACAGCAGATTATGGGTATACTATAAATATCTATATGTACATATAACATATACAGCCTTCAATAGATCACATCTATAATGCCTCAACTACATTCGATAATGTGTTATCGGGGTGATTAATGTCTAGGTTTGCTGAAGTTCTGTATGTGTATGGGGTCTATCATATTTGTGACAGGTTATAAAAGTGCCAATTTTATAGAAATCAGATCAAATGAAACTTTGCTGGAACAACTCTCCATCTGTCACTCAGCAGCTAGGAGGTTTTATCCCATTTTTTTTTTTTTTTAGCTCCATAAATCTCTAACTGAATGAGGCGGCATGCTGCCCTAGCCTGTCTTCCCAACTCCTCAATGATCTGTACTGCAGTCAATTGAAAAGCACTTGAAAGTGTTTGTGGCTACAGTATAGAGGCTTCTTAATGAGAACCCTCTGATTAGAGTATTCTCTGGCACAGACTGTTCTCCCTTCTTTCCCAAACAAACTTTCAAAGGCTGCAGACAGGCTTGCATCTTTTGCAATGTTTTTTTATTTTTTAAAGACACCCAAAGAATACATGGAGAAAATGGGATACATGTGACGTTCAGAGCTTTAGCTATGAATGATAGTTGCCTCTCACTCTGCAGGGTGAAAAAAGCATTCAAATAGGATTATTTATTTTATTTATTTTCGTATAATTTCCATGCACTTCATAGAAACATAGACTGTGATGCCAGATAAGAACCATTCGGCCCATCTAGTCTGCCAAATTTTCTAAATACTTTCATTAGTCCCTAGCCTTATCTTACAGTTAGGATAGCCTTATGCCTATCCCACGCATGCTTAAACTCCTTTACTGTGTTAACCACTACCACTTCAGCTGGAAGGCTATTCCATGCATCCACTACCCTCTCAGTAAAGTAATACTTCCTGATATTATTTTTAAACCTTTGTCCCTCTAATTTAAGACTGTCCTCTTGTTGTGGTAGTTTTTCTTCTTTTAAATATAGTCTCCTCCTTTACTGTGTTGATTCCCTTTATATATTTAAATGTTTCTCTCATATCCCCCCTGTCTCGTCTTTCCTCCAAGCTATACATGTTAAGATCCTTTAACCTTTCTTGGTAAGTTTTATCCCACAATCCATGAACCAGTTTAGTAGCCCTTCTCTGAACACTCTCTAAGGTATCAATATCCTTCTGAAGATACGGTCTCCAGTACTGTGTACAATACTCCAAGTGAGGTCTCACCAGTGTTCTGTACAATGGCATGAGCACTTCCCTCTTTCTACTGATAATACCTCTCCCTATACAACCAAGCATTCTGCTAGCATTGTCTGCCTACCTTTAAGTCATCAGAAATAATCACCCCTAAATCCCTTTCCTCAATTGTTGAGGTTAGGACTCTATCAAATATTCTGTACTCTGCCCTTGGGTTTTTACGTCCAAGATGCATTATCTTGCACTTATCCACATTAAATGTCAGTTGCCACAATTCTGACCATTTTTCTAGTTTACCTAAATCATTTGCGATTTGACTTATCCCTCCTGGAACATCAACCCTGTTACATATCTTAGTATCATCAGCAAAAAGGCATACCTTACCATCAAGACCTTCTGCAATATCACTAATAAAAATATTAAAGAGATGGGGTCCAAGTACAGATCCCTGAGGTACCCCACTGGTGACAAGTCCAAGCTTCGAAAATTATTCCATTAACTACAACCCTCTGTTGCCTGTCACTCAGCCACTGCCTTACCCATTCAACAATATTGGAATCCAAACTTAAAGATAATATGGGGGGACACTGATCATACACACATATTTATTTAAGAAAAACGTTGCCTGAGAGGGAATATAACATTATACAAATATATTCGGGGCCAATACAAACCATTGTGTGGAAATCTATTCACAAACCGGACTTTACATAGGACGCAAGGTCAAGATTTTGTCTAAGGCAAAGGAAAGGTTTTTTTACTGTAAGAACAATCAGGATGTGGAATTCTCTGCTTGAAGTTGTTTTATCAGAGTCCATACAGATGTTCAAACAGCTACTAGATGCATACTTGCAAAAAAAGAAATATTCAAGAATATAATCTTTCAATGTAGGGTAATAACTGCTTGATCCAAGGATAAATCTGACTGCCATTCTGGGGGTCAAGAAGGAATTTTTTTCCTAGCTTGTTGCAAAATTGTGCTTCAAACTGGGTTTTTTGCCTTCTTTTGGATCAACAGCAAAAAACAAATGTGAGGAAGGCTGAACTTGATGGACGCAAGTCTCTTCAGCTATGTAACTATGATCCAATCAGTGCCTTATCTCTTGGAATGCTAGAAAAAATGCACTCTGCTACCTGATCAATCACATGTGCAGTTGGAAGATCTCTTCACCTTGCAACATTTGGTGTCTGGCTTCTCTCCTGCTGCTACTCAATGATGCCCTGTTTCTGTCATTAGTGGACTTATCTGAAAATGAGATGGGTCTTGTAAGATTGGGGGGGGAGGCTGAAGAAACTCCACTAGCTGAGGTGATCCCAAAAATGCAATATGACAAAGTTCATAAACCTTTATTACATACTTTTCACTGGTGTTTTTTTTTTTTTTGCTTTATTTTTGTTTGTATATTTGCTAAATGTTTTCGATGGTTTAAAAAAAAAAAAAATAATTGTCAAGTGATGCATGTCCCTTTAAAAATACCCCATAATGCCAATATATTGTAAGCTCATTCAAGAAGGGTCATGTGTGTGTGTATAGCTATATGAAGTATACAACTTATGCAGCCCTTTCGACAAAGCCCTATGCAAAATCCTGAAAACCGCTATGCTTCTGTGCCAAAGGGAGATTCTCCACCCACGAATAAAAAAGAATAGACCGTATTATCCAGCACAGGATTATGTGATACCATATAATTATTGGCACAGTTTATTTCAGGGAGAATTATTGGCACAGTTTATTTCAGGGCTAGAGTTTGTAATGATGCCAGGCAGCTGAGAGCTACACCTTTATTTATACATAACCACTCCTTATGCTGTGATTACTCAAGGCAAGCAACTAAGCTGCCACTCAATACGCTACATCCAAATGTTTCTCCCTGAAGTTAGTCGTGTCAAAGGGAGTTTCTTCTGTTAATGAAACTACAGTAAATAATTAGAACAAATGATGGATACCTTAAAGGACTGTCAACAAATCATGATAAAGAATTAATAACCATTAAGGCCAAAATTAACAGAATATGCAACTACCAGCCCAACAGTATAATGTCCCAGGGTGTACACATTCTACTATCCTGTTTCTCTACAGCACTCACTCTGTATATCTCCAAACAGCCAACACCACAGAACTACAGTTCCAAACATTCAATTCCACAACTCACTGCACAGCTCCAGTCATACAGCAACATATACCACATTCAAATTTGGCAATTGAAAATAGAATGCTTCTCATAAAGAAGCATTAGACCAATTGAAAGATTGTGCAAGTATAGAGAATCAGGAAGCCCTCCAATCAGGAAAGGGAACAAGGAGGACATAGTGTTCTGCTAAAGCACAACGGCAAGCTGGAATGCCTTTAAAATTAAAGGACCTAAGCACAATGACACTACAGCATCGTGTAATGTAAATAGCAAGACATTTGTGAACAGTTTGATTTCATTCCTGTGTTAAAGCAGAGTGAATCCTAGCAGACTCCATGTAAGTTAAACTGTTGGCAAATGGTTAGTCCAGCCAGTGTTACCTTAACCAATTCATATAAACATATTACTTGCCCCTAGATATGTTTAACACCGTGAAGGGGGGAGGGTCTAGTGAAATGGTTCTTTAGATTTGATGTTTAAATTGTTAGTGAAAGTGCTGGTAAATAAGCATGAAAATGTGAATTGCCAACTTCTGCAGCTAGAAGCATTAAATGAGGACTTTGCTTCTGGGCTGTAACAAACAACCACATTCACTGGCTATTTGAATGGAATCACGTCCACCAACTGTAAATAGATAATGCAACTAAAGCAGAGCAGCTCGTGTTAGAACACATGGCGATGTCCAATTATTCATGCATGTGACAGGAAAAGCTTTCACATCACTATCTGCACACGTTTTACAAACATGTAAAAAATATACAAACAAGCAAAATGGATCCTACATCTTTACAATGCCTGTATTCTGATATATTATCTAAGAGGTAGTAGTTTGTGTACAACGGCATGCCCCACCACCCAACTGTCCTAAACCCGGGAGGACCATTCCAGTCCAGGATTTGTTCTCTGCATCAGAAGACCACATAGACCTGTCCCCAGCCATCAGTGCAAACACATCATTAGATGAACACATTCAGTGTTAAGGGAACTACTATGGACATGCAAAAAAGCACTTCAGCAACACTCTGCATGGTCTGACCTGAATGGAGATGACATGAGATGCTGACAGCCTGATGTGCATACATGCTAGGCTGACAAACACCCTTCTCTGGATGGCTTTTGTTGGGTATCCCTAGCATGCCCATTCAGTTGCTTACTTCTCAAGTCACAACATCTCCATTTAACATAGAAATGAATGAGCCAGTGCTGCAATAAAAGTACAGAAACTATTAAAGAGGAACAATGACTACACAGTATTTAGAATATGCTATGTACATAGCCAATATTTCACAAATGTTTTTGTGGGGTTTGAACATTTTAGAAATTCACACATTTATCCATCTTGGCTCACTGTCCATCTTTGTTATACATGTTTACCTTTTCTGCCATTGATAGAGGAAAAATGGGAACAAAGTTTGCCCTGATGTGCCTGTACTGAACTGGAATATGATGTCCCCTGGTAAATCTCTTATACACATTGGAAAAGAAAAATGAGCATATGAAAAGCAAATTAGATGATTTCCAGAGTTTTATTCAATAGTGTAATTCACAGAAAAGCAACAATTTACAAACCTACAGTCATAGTCTCCACACTGTGACAGCAGGTGCTGATCACTTCCATAGGGATGCATTGATTCAGTGCATATCTATGAGAAGATACTGATTGGTGCATCAATTTATAGTGCATGAGCAATGGCTTTTATTACGCTTGATATCAGCCACAGAGGCGGGGCCAGTTGCGCGGAGACCAGGAAGGTATAGGAAAAGTGGGAGTAAACTCCATTCCCTTGCAATCTGAGGCGACACTGACACACAGACATAGTGAGACACGTTCAAATTATTGGTGGTTTTAATAAAATATTATTGCATCCTTACACTCCAGCTTTCCCAAAGGTATCAGTCCAGTAGGCAGCTGGCTGGGGGGGAGTGGAGGCGGGCAGTTGGCTGTTTATAGGAGTGCAGCGATGGAGCTGTGATGTCCCTGATCTTCTTCTTCGCACACCGCTTAGTGAGGACGGGTATGAAATATGATGGACCGAACCTGGTCTTATGAAGTGGCGCGCAAGGGAGCAGAGCCGGAAATCACAGCTGCCTTGGAGCGAACGGGCTCACAACTCCAGGTGCCAAGACAAAAATTTCTTGGCATGTCTGAGTTGTCAAGCCCTGTTCTAACGAACAATTAGCCTCCCGTTTAACTGTACTACAAAATGGGCAGACTGTTTTATCAAGGTGTGATTAGGTGGACTCTGCCAGCAGTTTTAACACCACAGCTTATTGTTGTATTATTGTGCTAGGACTCTGTCCCTGAGTAATTGATTTTTAACCCCATGACACTTCAATTTATGCCTTTTTCAGCACATTGTGCCCACTACAACGTTGGCATAAGATGAGGACTGCTATCTTTCCAGTTTTTGTATATCAAAAAATGTAAAACATGCTCACACAATTTGTCAGTCTTTTACATGTAGGAACTTTGCTGTGTACAAGGATTGAAAAGGTACTTTGCTTTAAAGAATTATACAACATTTTTAAAAGTACTAATTTTTAGTTTATAAGTTGGGTTTGGCAGGGCCATCTTCACCTGCTGATCCTGAATGTCTAACCTGTCTTTTTTTACATGTTATACAGCGCAGAGGAATGTGTTGGTGCTATATAAATAATTGTAATTGCTATGTATTCTTTTTAAATATAGATAGAAACATAGAATGTGACGGCAGATAAGAACCATTCGGCCCATCTAGTCTGCCCAGTTTTCTAAATACTTTCATTAGTCCCTAGCCTTATCTTATAGTTGGGATAGCCTTATGCCTATCCCACGCATGCTTAAACTCCTTTACTGTGTTAACCTCTACCACTTCAGCTGGAAGGCTATTGCATGCATCCACTACCCTCTCAGTAAAGTAATACTTCCTGATATTATTTTAAACCTTTGTCCATTTAATTTAAGACTGTCCTCTTGTTGTGGTAGTTTTTCTTCTTTTAAATATAGATTATAGATTATCATATTTCTTTGATTATCACAGTGCGCAAATAATGTTCTCTTGAGCATGAGCTGCATGAGCTACAACTAGTGTTTTTGTTCTAAGTAACTTTTGCAAGCCAAGTATAATTTAGTGTAACTACAAAGACTATATTGTCTGCTGATGGCTCCCAAGTGGGTGCAAACATTTTTTTTTTTTTCAAACATTTTACTCTTTTCTGATAAATTAAGGGAGATATTGCTGTATGGTGTAAGTAGGGTTACAACACTTATTTGGTTCCTTTCAAATGTGTTAAGTGGAAATGGACATAAACAGGGTGTGGGCAAACTCAGTGTGAATGTTTCCCAAGTTCCTTGTTTTGTGTGAAAGGTTTGAAATCTCTGGTAACTTTCGTATATTACAGAACCCCAGACATTAGTCAATGCTGCCTAGAGTTTCAGCAAGTAGATATGTGAAGGATGGGAGTGGAAGAGTGCTAAACAGGACTGAATCTACAATCCAGAACACCTGCTAGGATCTATAAATTGACTCTAGAATTACAATGATTCAGATGGCGTTTGGTGTCTTGTATGCCCTGGAGAAGCTTTTACGTATGCTTTCAGACGGCTCATTTTTCATTAATGGCATCATTTACCGCTGTAGGCTGTTTTAAACTGTATTTTCTATAAGGCTCTTTGCTAGGGTCATAAAATACCTGGGTCTTGATCCTATAAAAAATTTGATGAACCCTCAGAGTTCCACAGGTAGTGATGTATTGCTCTTGTATCTATTTGAACTGCACTAGTGTGCTGCTTTTCTGATGGACTAAGATTCAAAAAAGAGACCCAAAGGGCGAGCTGCAGCTCTGCATAAGAAATCTAGGGTTACTGAGCCCCTCATTCTCGCCTGTAGCTCACCTTCCCACCAAGTAACATACTTGTTCAGCCAGTTGAGCGACTATCTGAAAATATTGGATGACCTAGTTCCAAAATGTCTGCAGTGCCATGGTCTATCATTGATGACATTTCTTCATTCCAGGTTGTTTATCATGGCGTCTTCATGTATAGATATAGTTCAAGATTCATGGCATATTGTGCTTTTTTGTCTGCACATAGGATTCTTAAAGGACCACTATAGTGCCCTGAGGGTGCCCTCAGGCTCCCACTCCCGCCGGGCTGGATGGAGATTAAGGGGTTTAACACTTACCTTTCTCCAGCGCCGGGCTCCCTCGTTGCTAGAGACTCTCCTCCTTTCCCTGTCATCGGCTGAATGCGCATGCGCGTCAAGAGCCGCTCGCGCATTCAGCCAGTCCATATGAAAGCATTCTCAATGCTTTCCTATGGACGCTGGCGTCTTCTCACTCCGAAAATCAGTGAGAAGCGCCTCTAGCGGCGGTCAATGAGACAGCTACAAGATGCTGGATTAACTCTAAAGTAAACATAGCAGTTTCTCAGAAAGGGTTAATCCTAGGTGGACCTGGCACACAGACCACTTCATTAAGCTGAAGTGGCCTGGGTGCCTATAGTGGTCCTTTAAATCATGCTGCTCTGCATTTTCTGTATGTATTTAGCAGCTAAAACTGCATTAACTGTAGATATAGGGAAGATCAGTCTCAAGTCTTACATGTGGATGCCTCAACACAAATTTGTGTGCCTGCCTGATATTCCTATATCTATTTATTTTTAAATGGCAAACATCACTCTTATTGGCCATCAAAAAAAAAACATTTTGACACTTGTATTCCTGGATGCATTCACACCTATGGAGTTTGAAACACCTGGATAAACCAGACCCTCCTGTTGTAATTTGTAGAAGAATTGTGTAATAGGAGTAGGTGAGAGGTGCAGGAGCAGGATTTGTTCCCCCTCCCTTTCCATCCATAATGACTGTATTCTGTAGATATTGCTCGCAGTGCATCTCTAAACATCTAAATGCACTTGTTTTAGATCCCTATGAAGGGCTTGATTTCCGTAACACATGGTTGTATACTCAATCTATTAAACAGGACCATTCAAATATGACGCAGTACCTGATAATTTATTCCAACTCTTAGGAGACCGGTAAAGGCATGCAATATGACTTACCCTTAACTGCACCAACTGGCCGTCCATAATGCACCCTTATCACTTAGATTTAAGATCTTTGTTCTATAACAATTGTATGGACTGGGCTTATCTGTGCAGTGCACTAAAACCGAACAAATCCTGTACGCTCTTATTTGACATAGCTGGGCTGCACAGACCTAGTTACACATTACACAAGTGTGTGGTGCAGGTTGCTTAATGCTGAGGTCTACATTCCATATTACACCATTGATGTTTTTTTTTAAATGGAAGTGACATTTATAAAGGCAGAAATTCTTGCTGGTGTAACGTGTTTGGGACAGCTTGCGCTCTGGCTTGTTCAGGGCAATACAGAAGTTAGAAACGACAAACTTTAACATGCATGTCTATGGAGTAACTTGGTGCTTGTATTCAAATAAAACTGAATCTTAAATATATATCAACCTGTAAATAAGGTATAACGAATAAGGGCTAAATGTTTAATTGGCAAATTACAATGTATTAAAGGAACACTCCAGACCCCTAAAGCACACAGTTTGCCAAAGTGCTTTTGTGTAGAGTCCTCTGCAGATTCCAAAATACATAGGCACTTCTTTAAAATTTGTTACACCTTTGTGGCTCAGACAGCAGCTCGGTGGAACAAAGATCAAGAAGCAGCAATTGAGCATCTGCCTTGCAAACAAAGTACTACTAAACAGTGATTTTATATCTGGGCATTGCAGGGTCCCTTTCATAGAATATACATAATTATGGCAAACTATTAATGTGATTGATACCGAACATGGGTCCAACAATTTAAATCCATTTAAAATTCTCCAAAAACAGATACTGGTAGTAATATTTGTGAGAAATGGCCTCCCGACAATTGACATTTGTCAAACCTGGATTGGTTGCCCCAGATGTTAGGTGCTACAAAGTGTCCTATTGCAGTCCTTAAAGGACCACTATAGTGCCAGGAAAACATACTTGTTTTCCTGGCACTATAGAAAAAAGGGTTAAACCTAGCTGGACCTGGCACCCAGACCACTTCATTAAGCTGAAGTGGTCTGGGTGCCTATAGTGGTCCTTTAAAAACGAAGATGAAACTGATGCTGGTTTGTAGATACATATTTTAATAAAAGTGCATCTGAACTTCCAAAATCGGTTAGGGCGTTAGGCTCGCTTATGGGGTCATGCTGAAAGCCCTGTACTGAATAAAATCTGAATGTTGTAACACACTTTGTTGCAATCATTTTTCAGTGTAAAACTGAGTCATTTCAATAGAATGGAGAATAACCAGGAAGATACTGAACAGCACAGTCATCCATGCTGGGAATAATCTATTTCAGACTCTGCTTTTGGAAATCTCTTCCTCCTTAGCCTTTAATTGCCTTTATTTTTTGCACAGTCACTATGAATAGTTTGTCCTTACACTGCATGTTTCCTTTTGTTCTACCTGCTTGTTTCTAAAAGTACACACCTAATTATGTAAATAAGGCTAAACTGGGGAACGTCTTAACTTGTACAGTTTGGTTTCTTAAATCTACCTCTACAAGCTATTCAGCTGAATTTTTTTTTTGGGGGGGGGTACGTCCTTTCTCCAACTGATAAAATAATCTGATACACAGAAGCGTTTAGTAAAGTTGTTTTATTCCAACCCTTTTAAATATATGTATATATTTACTAATTAATTTCACCCCTTAAAACATGTAAAGCTTTAAGATAGCTGACCTGCAGGGCCGGGCAAAGCTCTGTGCTGATCTTTACTCCCCATCCAATGTGAGCAGGGGGCCTTGTCCAGTCACAGGCTTCTCATAGTGCTCTGAGCCAGCCAGGTTGGGAGGCAGGTACGTTTGTTATTTTGGAGACTATAGGTTACTTTAAACTAGTAAAGAGCACTAGGTGTATCAGTGTTCAGGAATGAAACTGTTTTGTTTTAGCAAGGATAGCACTTGGTTAACTTTGAACACTAGCTTGACATGTGCTAGGTTATATTTTTGCTTTAGCCATTGAGGTATGGGCTTTGAAGTACCTTGAAAAATAACTGCAGACTGAAATAAAATCTGTTCCTGTGCATTGATATTGACCAATTTGTATCTTGGTTTGTAGCCATTGAAGAATACAAGCCACAAGATGCAACCACAAACCCATCGCTGATATTGGCTGCTGCCCAGATGCCTGACTACCAGGACCTTGTAAAGGAAGCCATCAAATATGGGAAGAAACTTGGAGGGTAAGTCTCTAAGAGACTTGGTGTATATTGTAGGCATTTTCCACATTCTAAGGCAATGGCATCTCCCCATACATATAGGTATATGCAGTATTTTGGGTCTAAGCACAAGGTAAAGCTTGCAGCAAATCTGCAAAAGTCAAAGAAATATCCAACCATTGACCTTACATTGAATGCTAAGTCTGTACATGTTCAATAAACCAGCAGCACAGCGGTTATAAGGACACATTCTGCTTTACAGTAGTCTGAACCCTAATCGCGACAACTTATTTGTACTGAGAAATTAGTGAGAAAATAAATTGTAAGTGAACAGTTAATGCACATTAGTGTAGTGATATTTAAATTTTTTTTTTTAATCACTTTGTTTTGGTTTTCAGGACAGAAGCAGAACAGATTGACAACATCATGGACAAGCTGTTTGTCTTATTTGGATGTGAAATCCTTAAGATAATCCCTGGAAGGGTGTCTACAGAGGTGGATGCAAGGTGGGATTTTATCTGCTGTGCTCCCGATACCTGGGGATGTTGTTCCACCAGCTATCCTTTTTGTTTGTGATGTTGACTGCATGAATATAGCCATACTGAGGATATCATTATACTAATATTAAATGTGTTCTACTGAAGCCGAAGATCATGTGAGCGGTTAGGGTTATATATAATTAAACTGGAGTTTTTGATGAGTTATAACATAAAATGTTTTATCTTGTTTTAATCAGATAAGTCTGTTCCCCAACGCTAAATAAATATCTAATTTGCTGATAAATATCTTTTATTTCACTTGCCTTTTTCCATAATGGATTAATCCAGGATCAATCTAGTTTTTTATTTTTTCTGTCTAGAGCCAAACTACAATCATAAACTGGAAAACCATACTTGGGGACAAACACGAAAGCACTAGGAATACAAATGTGTATTCCGAAGTCTTTAATGTTTCTTTTAATGAAGCAGTTTTGGTGTACACTGCTACATTCTGCTTCATTTAGGCGTTAAAATAACTTTTGATGTTGCTTATGCATTCATAGCCACACCATTTTTTCATGGAGACTGACTCACAGTGAGCAGTTTAATTTTCAATCTGATCTTGCAGCGCAGTCCGTTCACTCTAGAAGTTCTTATTTCCTACTCTGTAAATTGAAATTTAATCACACGCAGGAGTAATATAACACCTGAATGGCAGAGAATCAAGCAGTGAGACTGCAGCAACATCTGTACACCAAAACCACTTCATTAAGCTAATGTTTTGGCACCCAGTGTCTGTTTACCAGATAAAAATGTAAGATGTAAATTAAATGAATTTGGATGCTGGAGTTATATGGATAAGGAAATCTATTTAATGCTGCTTTTTACTAATGTGTGTTCTGTGAGTCATTGCATTTTTTTCTGAAAGAAAAGGGTGTGACCTTTTTAATTTATTGCGGTTTTAAAAGGAAATTTTAGAATTTGTCACAGTAAGGTCATATTTCCGATCACCTGTGTTTCTCTGGTGCTCAAATTCCTAGCAGCATTGTGTACAGTATATGTGTAGTTGTCCTTTTTAACCATATTTTAAAGTCCAGTCAATTGGTTTTAAAGGGATTCTATAGTGCCAGGAAAACAAAGCAGTTTTCCTGGCACTTTAGAATCCCTACAGTGCCGCCATCCCTCGCACCCCCCTCCTGCAGCGCTGAAGGGGTTAAAACCCGTTCAGTCATTTACCTGAATCCGGCGCTGATGTCCCTCTGATAGGTTTCGCCCACACTCCTATCTAATCATCAGGAAGTCCCTCTAGTGGCTATCTTGTGGACAGCCACTAGAGGAGGAGTTAATCTTTCAAGGTAATTATTGCAGTATCTCAAACTGCAATAATTACTACTATAGGGTTAAGGGACATGTCAATGAGCTGAAAGTGGTCTTGGTGCTTACAGTGTCACTTTAAGCGTTACAATTTCAGTGATCTTTTGGGATACTAGCCAAAAGCTTTACGGATAGTGATTCAGATCCAGTTTTTGGTCAATGAACTGGCTTGATTTTTTGTTTATATTTTTTTTTGTCCTTTACCAATATGACCTATACTTTCAGATATAACTGAACTCTCTTTGAGGAGTTAGGAACTATTCAAACTTGGCAAACATTTTATTGTAGTCCTAGGTGGAAATTGTCTTGAAATGTGACTGTACAAAAACAATAAAAAAAAAAACTGTCTGTAAAAGCCCTTTGCCCATCCTCTATATAACCCAATCTGCTTCTCATCACAGGTTATCTTTTGACAAGAATGATATGATTAAGCGTGCCAAGCGCATCATTGCACTTTACAAGGAGAGTGGCATAGAGAAAGAGAGAATCTTGATAAAGCTGTCTTCAACCTGGGAGGGAATTCAAGCTGGCAAGTAAGGACTGAATCACCACTCTCCAACCCATAGATCTTGGTGGTGCACATGGTCTATCTTATATCTCTGGCCCCTTATGCATAAATGCACATTAGTGCTATGTAAATAGCTTGCATAACTTCACGACCTAAATATAAATGTTTGGAATGAAGCTTTCAATGCTAAAATGTAATTGAATGGTTTGAACATTATAAATATATTTATAATGTCAGTGTAACTGTAATTCTGCAATTTCCAGGTTTCTTGATGCCTGATCTTTCCATTAGTCTGTTTTGGTTTTCCTAAACTTTTTCCTGCTTCTCCCTCTAGGGTTTTGGAAGAGGAATATGGCATACACTGCAACATGACTCTCATCTTCTCATTCGCCCAGGCAGTTGCCTGTGCTGAGGCTGGTGTAACTTTGATTTCTCCGTTTGTGGGTCGGATGGCTTGGATTGGCATGTGGCAAATTCTGATAAGAAGAGCTATGAACCCTCAGAGGACCCAGGTATGATGTATCTGTTTGGAAAATTTCTGCAAGTTGCCTTTTCTGATGGTTTTATTAATGCAGCTAAATAAGAAATCTTACTCCCTCAGTTCACCTTTAACATACTTGTTATGAGCGATATTGAAAATATTGGATTAGTTAAAATTTCTGCAAAATTGATGACATTTCTTCATTCCAGGTTGTTTATCACATATAGTTCAAGATTATGGCAATTGTGCTTTTTTGTCTGCACATAGGATTCTTAAAGGACCACTAAGTGCCCTAGGGTGCCCTCAGGACTCCCGCCGGGCTGGATGGAGATTAAGCTCCATTGCTAGAGATCATCGGCTGAATGCGCATTTATTCAGCCAGTCCTGAAAGCATTCTCAATGCTTTCCTATGGATTTCACTCCTTGAGACAGCTACAAGATGCTGGATTAACTCTAAAGTAAACATAGCAGTTTCTCAGAAAGGGTTAATCCTAGGTGGACCTGGCACACAGAAGCTGAACTATAGTGGTCCTTTAAATCATGCTGCTCTGCTTCTGTATGTATTTAGCAGCTAAAACTGCATTAACTTAGATATAGGGAAGATTCTCAAGTCTTACAATGCCTCAACACAAATTTGTGTGCCTGCCATTCCTTATCTATTTATTTTTAAATGGCAAAATCACTCTTATTTATTTTGACACTTGTATTCCTGGATAATTCACACCTTGGAGTTTGAAACACCTGGATTCCTGTTGTAATTTGTAGAAAATTGTGTAATAGGAGTAGGTGAGAGGTGCAGGAGCAGGATTTGTTCCCCCTCCCTTTCCATCCATAATGACTGTATTCTGCAGATATTGCTCGCAGTGCATCTCTAAACATCTAAATGCACTTGTTTTAGATCCCTATGAAGGGCTTGATTTCCGTCAATCTATTAAACAGGAACATTCAAATATGACGCAGTACCTGATAATTTATTCCAACTCTTAGGAGACCGGTAAAGGCATGCAATATGACTTACCCTTAACTGCACCAACTGGCCGTCCATAATGCACCCTTATCACTTAGATTTAAGATCTTTGTTCTATTGTATGGACTGGGCTTATCTGTGCAGTGCACTAAAACCGAACAAATCCTGTATGCTCTTATTTGACATAGCTGGGCTGCACAGACCTAGTTACACATTACACAAGTGTGTGGTGCAGGTTGCTTAATGCTGAGGTCTACATTCCATATTACACCATTGATGTTTTTTTTAAATGGAAGTGACATTTATAAAGGCAGAAATTCTTGCTGGTGTAACGTGTTTGGGACAGCTTGCGCTCTGGCTTGTTCAGGGCAGTACAGAAGTTAGAAACGACAAACTTTAACATGCATGTCTATGGAGTAACTTGGTGCTTGTATTCAAATAAAACTGAATCTTAAATATATATCAACCTGTAAATAAGGTATAACGAATAAGGACTAAATGTTTAATTGGCAAATTACAATGTATTAAAGGAACACTCCAGACCCCTAAAGCACACAGTTTGCCAAAGTGCTTTTGTGTAGAGTCCTCTGCAGATTCCAAAATACATAGGCACTTCTTTAAAATTTGTTACACCTTTGTGGCTCAGACAGCAGCTCGGTGGAACAAAGATCAAGAAGCAGCAATTGAGCATCTGCCTTGCAAACAAAGTACTACTAAACAGTGATTTTATATCTGGGCATTGCAGGGTCCCTTTCATAGAATATACATAATTATGGCAAACTATTAATGTGATTGATACCGAACATGGGTCCAACAATTTAAATCCATTTAAAATTCTCCAAAAACAGATACTGGTAGTAATATTTGTGAGAAATGGCCTCCCGACAATTGACATTTGTCAAACCTGGATTGGTTGCCCCAGATGTTAGGTGCTACAAAGTGTCCTATTGCAGTCCTTAAAGGACCACTATAGTGCCAGGAAAACATACTTGTTTTCCTGGCACTATAGAAAAAAGGGTTAAACCTAGCTGGACCTGGCACCCAGACCACTTCATTAAGCTGAAGTGGTCTGGGTGCCTATAGTGGTCCTTTAAAAACGAAGATGAAACTGATGCTGGTTTGTAGATACATATTTTAATAAAAGTGCATCTGAACTTCCAAAATCGGTTAGGGCGTTAGGCTCGCTTATGGGGTCATGCTGAAAGCCCTGTACTGAATAAAATCTGAATGTTGTAACACACTTTGTTGCAATCATTTTTCAGTGTAAAACTGAGTCATTTCAATAGAATGGAGAATAACCAGGAAGATACTGAACAGCACAGTCATCCATGCTGGGAATAATCTATTTCAGACTCTGCTTTTGGAAATCTCTTCCTCCTTAGCCTTTAATTGCCTTTATTTTTTGCACAGTCACTATGAATAGTTTGTCCTTACACTGCATGTTTCCTTTTGTTCTACCTGCTTGTTTCTAAAAGTACACACCTAATTATGTAAATAAGGCTAAACTGGGGAACGTCTTAACTTGTACAGTTTGGTTTCTTAAATCTACCTCTACAAGCTATTCAGCTGAATTTTTTTTTTGGGGGGGGGTACGTCCTTTCTCCAACTGATAAAATAATCTGATACACAGAAGCGTTTAGTAAAGTTGTTTTATTCCAACCCTTTTAAATATATGTATATATTTACTAATTAATTTCACCCCTTAAAACATGTAAAGCTTTAAGATAGCTGACCTGCAGGGCCGGGCAAAGCTCTGTGCTGATCTTTACTCCCCATCCAATGTGAGCAGGGGGCCTTGTCCAGTCACAGGCTTCTCATAGTGCTCTGAGCCAGCCAGGTTGGGAGGCAGGTACGTTTGTTATTTTGGAGACTATAGGTTACTTTAAACTAGTAAAGAGCACTAGGTGTATCAGTGTTCAGGAATGAAACTGTTTTGTTTTAGCAAGGATAGCACTTGGTTAACTTTGAACACTAGCTTGACATGTGCTAGGTTATATTTTTGCTTTAGCCATTGAGGTATGGGCTTTGAAGTACCTTGAAAAATAACTGCAGACTGAAATAAAATCTGTTCCTGTGCATTGATATTGACCAATTTGTATCTTGGTTTGTAGCCATTGAAGAATACAAGCCACAAGATGCAACCACAAACCCATCGCTGATATTGGCTGCTGCCCAGATGCCTGACTACCAGGACCTTGTAAAGGAAGCCATCAAATATGGGAAGAAACTTGGAGGGTAAGTCTCTAAGAGACTTGGTGTATATTGTAGGCATTTTCCACATTCTAAGGCAATGGCATCTCCCCATACATATAGGTATATGCAGTATTTTGGGTCTAAGCACAAGGTAAAGCTTGCAGCAAATCTGCAAAAGTCAAAGAAATATCCAACCATTGACCTTACATTGAATGCTAAGTCTGTACATGTTCAATAAACCAGCAGCACAGCGGTTATAAGGACACATTCTGCTTTACAGTAGTCTGAACCTAATCGCGACAACTTATTTGTACTGAGAAATTAGTGAGAAAATAAATTGTAAGTGAACAGTTAATGCACATTAGTGTAGTGATATTTAAATTTTTTTTTTTAATCACTTTGTTTTGGTTTTCAGGACAGAAGCAGAACAGATTGACAACATCATGGACAAGCTGTTTGTCTTATTTGGATGTGAAATCCTTAAGATAATCCCTGGAAGGGTGTCTACAGAGGTGGATGCAAGGTGGGATTTTATCTGCTGTGCTCCCGATACCTGGGGATGTTGTTCCACCAGCTATCCTTTTTGTTTGTGATGTTGACTGCATGAATATAGCCATACTGAGGATATCATTATATAATATTAAATGTGTTCTACTGAAGCCGAAGATCATGTGAGCGGTTAGGGTTATATATAATTAAACTGGAGTTTTTGATGAGTTATAACATAAAATGTTTTATCTTGTTTTAATCAGATAAGTCTGTTCCCCAACGCTAAATAAATATCTAATTTGCTGATAAATATCTTTTATTTCACTTGCCTTTTTCCATAATGGATTAATCCAGGATCAATCTAGTTTTTTATTTTTTCTGTCTAGAGCCAAACTACAATCATAAACTGGAAAACCATACTTGGGGACAAACACGAAAGCACTAGGAATACAAATGTGTATTCCGAAGTCTTTAATGTTTCTTTTAATGAAGCAGTTTTGGTGTACACTGCTACATTCTGCTTCATTTAGGCGTTAAAATAACTTTTGATGTTGCTTATGCATTCATAGCCACACCATTTTTTCATGGAGACTGACTCACAGTGAGCAGTTTAATTTTCAATCTGATCTTGCAGCGCAGTCCGTTCACTCTAGAAGTTCTTATTTCCTACTCTGTAAATTGAAATTTAATCACACGCAGGAGTAATATAACACCTGAATGGCAGAGAATCAAGCAGTGAGACTGCAGCAACATCTGTACACCAAAACCACTTCATTAAGCTAATGTTTTGGCACCCAGTGTCTGTTTACCAGATAAAAATGTAAGATGTAAATTAAATGAATTTGGATGCTGGAGTTATATGGATAAGGAAATCTATTTAATGCTGCTTTTTACTAATGTGTGTTCTGTGAGTCATTGCATTTTTTTCTGAAAGAAAAGGGTGTGACCTTTTTAATTTATTGCGGTTTTAAAATGAAATTTTAGAATTTGTCACAGTAAGGTCATATTTCCGATCACCTGTGTGTTTCTCTGGTGCTCAAATTCCTAGCAGCATTGTGTACAGTATATGTGTAGTTGTCCTTTTTAACCATATTTTAAAGTCCAGTCAATTGGTTTTAAAGGGATTCTATAGTGCCAGGAAAACAAAGCAGTTTTCCTGGCACTTAAGAATCCCTACAGTGCCGCCATCCCTCGCACCCCCCTCCTGCAGCGCTGAAGGGGTTAAAACCCGTTCAGTCATTTACCTGAATCCGGCGCTGATGTCCCTCTGATAGGTTTCGCCCACACTCCTATCTAATCATCAGGAAGTCCCTCTAGTGGCTATCTTGTGGACAGCCACTAGAGGAGGAGTTAATCTTTCAAGGTAATTATTGCAGTATCTCAAACTGCAATAATTACTACTATAGGGTTAAGGGACATGTCAATGAGCTGAAAGTGGTCTTGGTGCTTACAGTGTCACTTTAAGCGTTACAATTTCAGTGATCTTTTGGGATACTAGCCAAAAGCTTTACGGATAGTGATTCAGATCCAGTTTTTGGTCAATGAACTGGCTTGATTTTTTGTTTATATTTTTTTTTGTCCTTTACCAATATGACCTATACTTTCAGATATAACTGAACTCTCTTTGAGGAGTTAGGAACTATTCAAACTTGGCAAACATTTTATTGTAGTCCTAGGTGGAAATTGTCTTGAAATGTGACTGTACAAAAACAATAAAAAAAAAAACTGTCTGTAAAAGCCCTTTGCCCATCCTCTATATAACCCAATCTGCTTCTCATCACAGGTTATCTTTTGACAAGAATGATATGATTAAGCGTGCCAAGCGCATCATTGCACTTTACAAGGAGAGTGGCATAGAGAAAGAGAGAATCTTGATAAAGCTGTCTTCAACCTGGGAGGGAATTCAAGCTGGCAAGTAAGGACTGAATCACCACTCTCCAACCCATAGATCTTGGTGGTGCACATGGTCTATCTTATATCTCTGGCCCCTTATATAAATGCACATTAGTGCTATGTAAATAGCTTGCATAACTTCACGGCCTAAATATAAATGTTTGGAATGAAGCTTTCAATCTAAAATGTAATTGAATGGTTTGAACATTATAAATATATTTATAATGTCAGTGTAACTGTAATTCTGCAATTTCCAGGTTTCTTGATGCCTGATCTTTCCATTAGTCTGTTTTGGTTTTCCTAAACTTTTTCCTGCTTCTCCCTCTAGGGTTTTGGAAGAGGAATATGGCATACACTGCAACATGACTCTCATCTTCTCATTCGCCCAGGCAGTTGCCTGTGCTGAGGCTGGCGTAACTTTGATTTCTCCGTTTGTGGGTCGGATCTTGGATTGGCATGTGGCAAATTCTGATAAGAAGAGCTATGAACCCTCAGAGGACCCAGGTATGATGCAGAATCTGTTTGGAAAATTCCAAAGAAATGTAAATTAAGCCTATTTACATGATGCGTTTTATCCAGTAAAATTGTAGTGAATCTAAATTTCAAAATGCAGGCTAAATAGTTGGAAAATTCTAAAATTTCCCTAAATTTTGCATCTTCATTTTCAAATCACTACAATTGTACTCTTAAAACAGGATATTTACATTATTTGAAGCATTACTCTAAAATAAAATTTAAAAAAATTAATAGTACAGTACTGAAACATTGAATCCTGCATCAGTCAGGTTCCGACTTAAAAAAAACAAGAAAATCATGTAACAAAACTGCACAATGAAACACTGTATTGCAGTAAAATTCACCTTAGTTTTGGAAAGCTGATAATGGGCAGTGAGTGGGCAGGCTTTAGGAAGGAAAGTAGACTATGGAACTTTTCTGGTCTTTGCATTTTAAGCATCCATGTCTAAAACAGGAGGCAGTTTTTACACTCCTAATGCAATAGGAAATAAAGAGGGAAAACTACTGTCCAATGGCCTAATACGAAGTTAAAAATTCATTTTTAATATGTCAAAATAAAGAGCTAGTCTTTGTATTAGGCCATTAGACAGTAGTTTTCCTCTTTGTTTCTTATTCATTTCTTAAGGGTTATCCCCTACTGTATTAGCGTTAACCTGTATCAGTTCCTGCTGCAATAGTTCACAACCTTTTCACTTGATGATATGTTGAGTAATCAATTTTGTAGACTCTATCTATAAAATCTGATTTGTTTAATAGGTGTGCAAAGTGTTGTCAAAATCTACAATTATTACAAGAAGTTTGACTACAAAACAATCGTGATGGGAGCTTCCTTCAGAAATACCGGAGAGATCAAAGCACTCACAGGATGCGATTACCTTACAATATCACCCAAACTCCTAGGAGAGCTGAGCAAAGACAACAGCAAACTCACACCAACTCTTACAGTCAAAGCGGGTATGTCTGCTTCTGGGACCTAGCTGGTTAAATCAGTGGGCATTCATTTATTGCATGCATTGGGAAGATTTTACTATTTCTCATTTGTTTCAAATGGGTTTATGTAGTCCAAAATGTACAGTTTCTTATCTAGTTTTTTATTATCAACTATTGGCAAAAAGACGACAAGTTCTTAATGCAAAAAGGCAAATATGACCAGCTATTTATTGTAGTTTATTAACTGAAATTTACTTGATATAAACAAATAACTTCTAGGAAGCACTCTAAAGTATTGTTGTATTTGTAAGCTACCAAACTAAAACTTTATTTGCTTTAATTAAAATAAATTCTACCACATTTTGCTAAGTGTAAACAAAAATAAACTCAATGTATAGGTTTTAATTCCTTGCAAATCACTATAAATGGCAAGAAATGCACCTTGCTTATAGCAAATAGAACTTTAAACAAAAATGATTTAGAAAAATATTTGAAACTGCTATATGCATTCCTTAAATGTGATGGTGCTGCCACCAAGTGGTCACAGTTCCAATTGTGTATTTAAAAGTTGGTTAGCCAGCTGTTTGATGCAATCAACATTGTTCTAAAACACCAACGATCTACCTGTTTTGATCTCATGCTTAAAGGAACTCTACAGGCACCTAGACCACTTTACCCAATGAAGTGGTGTGGGTGGAGCAACCTGGTATTTTTATTTTATTTTACAACCCTGCAAAAAACATTGCTGTATCTTAACCACCATTAGAATCACTTCCGCAGCTATAAAAGTTAAACTCTAAAAATGACTCCTACAGAGCATTTGCTTGTTACAACAGGGGTGTTGTGCATGTGCACTAGCCTCCCAGTATTTATTAGGTGGAAGCATTGGATCTGCTGAGATCAACCTTTATTAAGTCTTACCTTTTTTAACCTTTATACAGGTGTACCTGTATAAGTAGGGGAACAATGTTGGGAATATACATACCTGTAAAATGGAAGGCAGTGTTGTGAGCTGAAGCTGAATGTTCACTTTGCAGAATACTCTTGTTTATTTCAATTCAATATTTCCTACAATCGAGCTGCATAACTTGCAAAGTTTGTTTTCCCACACTTTTAAACCAGGTCATTGAAACAAAAAATATTGCAATTTCTATTAGTTACATAGGCTCAAAAGAGACTTGCGTCCATCTTCAGCCTTTCTCACATTTGTTTTTTGCTGTTGATCCAAAAGAAGGCAAAAAAAAGTTTGAAGCACTTCCAATTTTGCAACAAGATAATTTATAAACATGTAAAGTAGAAGGGGTCCCCGACCAGAACTGAGGGACACCACTTGCCACCTCTGTCCAGCTTGAAAATTTACCATTAATGACAACTTTGTACTCTATTTTTAAGCCAATGTTCTACCCAAGAACAAGAATTTTCATCTAGTTTGAACACTAATCTATTGTGTGGAACTGTATCAAAAGCCTTGGCAAAATCCAAATAGATCACATCCACTGCAACATCCTGAATCAATACTTACTACCTACTTCTTTGTTTTGTCTGTTGCAGCCAAAGCCAGCAATCTGGAAAAGATACATCTAACAGAGGAAGGCTTCCGCTGGCAGCACAATGAGGACCAAATGGCTGTGGAAAAACTTTCTGATGGTATTAGGAAGTTTGCGGCTGATGCCATCAAGCTTGAGAAGATGTTAAAGGTGAGTGCAGTCTGTTGGAATACACATCCAATAAATTACCATGAGATGTAAACTTGTGGGTATTTCACCTAACAATTTAAAAACATGATTGATCATTGATCGTGTAACATTTTACCAAGTTAACACCTTTCATACTTGACCTATATTAATGCAACACATAGGTGCACATCAAGAAACTAGGAATGGCCCAAACTTGGGATGTATAGTCGACACTAGACAGTCTAAATTGGCTATCTTTTAACCAGGATTTAAGACACATAGGACATATGTATAGGCATACATTGAAGGTGTAAGATGTGCTTTTTACACTTCTGTCTTTTTGTAATTGCAGGCACGGCTCTCAGATTCTAAAAACGGACAATAAACTTGCAGTCCCTTTTTTATACGTTGAGCCCAGATCATTCCTCATCTCTTCTGCTCGAAGTGCTCTAGGCATCCTTGGAGTCCTCTGGCTTTCACACTTTTATCTACAATATCCTTAAGCAAACAGAACCAAACAAAATTAATCTACATTATACGTTTTTTGTAAATTGGTAATTTTTTTTGCACTGATTAAATCCAGTACTTACCCAGAATGTGTCTGTCTTTAACTCAAGTTAAACATAGCGACAATGTTGTCTTTTGGTGGGAAATCAGTGGGATCCCTTATCCTAGTAAACTTGTAGTGCTTTGAGTGTTTTTTCAGTTAGATATTTTATGTTAATATTTGAAATTTTTAGATACATGAATTAAATGTAAAATATAAATAGACAATGTACAGAAGGAAAACCAAGGACAATAAGAAAGATTATACATTTGAATTTAATCAAATCCTCACAACGCTGACTCTTCCATGTCTACATTTGATATAGCCGGCTCCATGTGAAGTCTTTAATGCAATTTCTCATGGTATGTTTATCCACACACCAGTATAATTTTTCACTCGGAATCGAAATTAAAGTTAATTTTCTAGTTGAGTTTATCTTAGAAGAGAAAATGTAAACACTTAAAGTCTTCATTAAGCAGTTTTGATAAAGTGTCCCTTTAAGTGTAGGCAAGAGGTTACCAAATTTTGTAGAAATGCCAAGAAAATATTTGCTTAGAAACTGTCTAATCAAAAATCTGCACTTAATTCAGAAGCTCTAAATCACTTGTCTAATGTTATTTCTAACATTTATTGCTGGTATCAGAGCCAGCTGGATGGTTCCGGCCAATGTTGGACCTAAAAGAGTGTGAACAAGAGCATAAGAAACAGTTTTGTATGGAGAAAATTTAACTTTCAATTCAATACCCTGTCCTTCTGCAGCAAGAAAATAGTCTAAAGGAGGTACAGGGCTATAAAACTATTCAGTCAGCCAAGGTGCTCAGAAATAACAGCTATGAGCATACCAGGTCTTGTGACATCAACAATTCAGGCAGAACAATACGCAAATGCACATATAAGAACAGAAGGACTAAAGGTAAAGATTTCTATTTGTAAATTTTAACTGGAAGAATACATTGAGATTTCTCTTGTTTTAAAGTATGTCCTGGATCCACAACCATTACACTGTTACAACTACTTTATCACAGAACATGTGCAGATAAATATAATCAACCATGATTACAGGTGCATTCTGTATAGAGGTACAGGACTCTTAAAGGACCACTTGAGGCACCCAGACAACTTCAGCTTAATGAAGTGGTCTGGGTGCCAGGTCGTTCTAGGGTTAACCCATTGCTTCTCACTGTGAAAATCAGTGAGAGCACGCAAGCGTCCATAGGAAAGCATTATGAATGCTTTCCTATGCGACCGGCTGCGCACGCAGCTCTTGCCACGCGTGCGCATTCAGTCGACTGGGAGGAACGGAGGAGGAGAGCTCCCCGCCCAGCGCTGGAAAAAGGTAAGTTTTAACCCTTTTCCCCCTTTCCAGAGCCGGGCGGGAGTGGGTCCCTGAGGGAGGGGGCACCCTCAGGGCACTATAGTGCCAGGAAAACAAGTGTTTTCCTGGCACTATAGTGGTCCTTTTAAAGGATAGACTGGGAGAAGAATTGATTTACATACTAGAAAATATGTGGGATCTGGAATAGTCAAAGATCAATACATAGAATGTTGTACAGAGGGCTCAGCTCTCTGTTGGGGAGTTCATAAGCTACTTTTCAAGGAATAACATCCCAAAGAAATGGTGCACTCTTCAAATTTCAGAGATGCTAGTGATGTTCAGAGCACTAAAGGTGTTTCTAAAGATGGTAAAAGGAATGAGTCCAATAACACAACAGTGGTGTTTCATTTAACTTCTTAAGGATGGAGGGCGTTCCATGCCATCCTTCAGGGGTGGCTCTAAACACCTGTGGGTGGCATAGAACATTCTTACCACCCAAGTGGCTGCTGCCATTTGCCTGTTGCAGATCGTGGTTGGGGTTCCTGCCTGGCCACCCAGAAAGTCCCCCTGTGACATGTGATCAGTGACAGCAAGTTGATCATGCTAAGCCTTTTATCCCCTTTTTGGGGGATTACCAACTACTCTGACTTCTGGATTCCCCTGACCTTGGCCTGTGCCTGTTTACATTAGCTATTCTAAAGAAGCTACACCAAACAACTCAAAATACTACATTTGGAGTACTTGAAATATGACTTCCCAAAAAAACTAATTAGTGTTAATGCTGTGATTAGCACTGAAAGGGTTAATTACATGTTTTTTTTGGTTTGTTTTTTTTTAAAACAAAACTTTTCACACAATCTAAAATAATGGTACGTGGGGGTACTGTTATATTCATGAAGCAATGTGTAATCAAAATACAGAGGCTCTATTGCACTAATATCAAGATTATGACATTTCCAGTGAAAATGCGTGTAAAAAGACAAAACTAAAAGTAGAAATCTCTACATGGGCCATGCATTTCTGTTAAAATGGCTAGACCAAACATCTCAGATTATGCCATTTGTTATACTCTGGGTTGCCTATTTTTGAAAATATGCCATAATGGTGGAAATGTTATTACCCAGGCTGCCATGCTCTCTCAATGGCGAGATAGGCCCAGAAAATCACTTAATCAAATTTCAATGTGTGAAATCATGAATGTTTGAAGTGGCTACTACCAATACTGGGCATACTCTATATTGAATACTTTGGGATGTCTACTTTTTGACATGGTATGCCATGATGGGGATAATTTTAATTTCTGAGCTGCCATACAGTCTCAAAGGCAATTTAGGCCCAGCAAACTAATCTGTGAAATTTCTATGTAGAAAAAAAATATTAATGGACAAGCTGTATATTTGACCCTGTAACTTTCCAAAACACCATAAAAACTGTACATAGGGGGTACTGTTTTACACGTGAGACATCGCTGAATACAAATGTGTATTTTATTGCAGTAAAAGCAAAACAGTATTATGACACAGTTAAAATGTCACGTAGAACTAAAAAAATTTCTTATTTTCTCCCAATTTTTTTTCAACTTTCTTTATTCTTCTTTTTTGTATGTTGTATTTCTACTTTGTGCAATGGATAGCTTTGATTGGCTGTTTTTTGATGTCATTTTGGCGCCAATTTTAATAGACTTATGTACCTATATATACTCCTTTACTGCCAGGTTTTAATGTTATTCCAATTTGATAAAGCCCTAGTGGTGAAACGCGTTATTGGTTTTATTATACTGTATATTTTATATAATAAATAATTTTGTGCTATTACTCTTTTACACAATGTTATTTTATATATTTTTTGTTACCTTTTCCTGGCATTTTACTTATCCTAAGGTGGGGATTATACCACCCACGCTATCATCCGAGTGCAGTTAGGCCTGCACTCCACTTGTGAGTATATTTTATTTTATTTTATCCTATCTCTACATCGTGACATCAGAGAGCACTATTGGTTGTTTTTATTTCTCTTGAGAATTGGACACCATCACCCTTCGGAGGACAAGCAACCATAAATCCTACAAGCGGGGATTAATCCGCTGTATGCCTGTTACACCTGAGCTGGCCATAGCTCATTCAAATGTGAGTGTATTATCTATATTTTAACTTATTAATATTCATCTTATACACTCTACACAATTGGTCCTTTCTCATTGTGTCTTTTATATCACGAGACGATCTACTTCAAACAGAGAAGATACTCTACCAGCTGAAACAGCAACTAAGACTATACAATCTCTGATAAAAATTGGGACTGTTTTGTATACATATATTCTTTTATATTTATTCTTTTATATTTTTTATTAATTGTGTATTTTTATTATTTTTATTCCTTTTGGCGCAGCCTTTTTTTGCTTTTGTTGTACACTCTTACTGTAGAGGGTTAGAGGGTGACCCTCTGTCAGGCCGCTGCCTAGCTATTATATTATTAGCGCTAACCTAGCTCCTTATTCTCTCATGGGTGTAGATGGGTATTTTCCAAATAGTATAAACTATATATATAAAAAAATGGAAAACAAATAGTGATAAGATTAAAACAGTAAAAAGGATAAAATGATAACCTATTTATGCTTAAATGAGCTAAAACAAACAAACATGTTTGTGTATAAGGCACTGGTGATATAGTCCCCACCAACAGACAGACACCAGAAAGGTAGATCACATTGGCCACAAGAGACAGGTTCAGGTATGTAAATAATACCTTCCCCTGGACCCCATGCCCACTGCAGTCATCTGGAAACTTTGCAAAATATGCAAAGACCCCAGAAGGTGACAGATGTTTTAAGACATACCGGTGGCAGATAGGACTTTAACTCTGGTACCTAGCTGTGGTAACATATCACAACATGTAATTAGTGAATTAGAACTAGGAATCGACCGATATAGATTTTTTTTTAGAGCCGATACTGATAATCGTGAACTTTCAGGCCTATAGGCGATAACTTACCAATATTCTGTACATTTACCATTTAAAAAAAAAAAAAACTATTTCTACACAAATCTACTGTTAACTGAACATGTTTATTATTTATTCATTTTTTTATTTTTTTTGCAAACCTTTTTTTTTTATTAAGGTAAATGAACAAAATATACAGGCCAGTCAGAATTTTTTGTTTTCAAGAATATATGTGTGTGTAGTGGATGCAGTGAGAGTATTTGATTAGTGAATGCAGTGTGGGTGTGTGTTTGTGTAGTGTGGGTGTATAGTGAATGCAGTGTGTGTTTGTGTAGTGTGTGTATATAGTGAATGCAGTGCGTATTTGTGTAGTGTGCATATAATGAATGCAGAGAGTGTGTTTGTGTAGTGTGTGTGTATATAATGAATGCAGTGTATGTGATTGTGTAGTGTGTGTGTATATAATGAATGCAGAATGTTTGTGTAGTGTGTGTATAGTAAATGCAGTGAGTGTGTGTCACATCCTGTTCCTAGATGCAGATCATTCTGGCAATGGCTTCTGGTATCCAGTACTCTTTTTACAATTCTTGTTTAGTTTTTCTTGGTTTTCTGGTTTTTTATTCTATGTCTGGTTTTCTTTATGCTGGGTTTTTCTGGGTTCATTCTTATATTCCGTCCCTGGATTTCCTAGTCTCTTGGATTCATTTAAATGTTTGTTTTATGTTGCCACACCCGTTTGTTTTCCATTTTCCTTTTGTTTCAGTCTGGACCTGCAGCAGTGTTTCAAGTCTCTGCCCTTTCTTGCAGGTAAGTGCTATTGTGGTTTAGTATGGTTCTTTTAGCGAACATTAGGCAGTGTTGGGGCATCACTAGATTGTCGGAGGCCGAAAGACAGTATAGGAGAAAGGAGGGGTTATGCCTATATTGCGGTAGAAAGGGACATAGGATAACTGATTGCCCAGTGAGTCCGGAAAACCTCCGCACCTAAGAACCTTAAAGCGGCACTGTCATGCCGAATCCCATTTTTTTTTTAGCCCCCCTCCCGCATCCACTACATCCAATTGACCCACTAGTCACCCCCAAATGCCCCTAAGCCCCCCACATTACCTATTTTTTATTCCTTATTTTCTGCCCCGATCTTGATTCAGGGCGCAGCCATCTTTGTGTGGGTAGGTGAAGTCCCTGTGGGACACGTCATCAGCCCACACTAGGCAGACACTGAGATTCCCGCACATGCCCAGTGAAACACCTGGACATGCGAACGGGAATTTCAGCTATTCATTCATTCATCAGACAGACGAATGAGTGAATAGAAAGATCAGCCGAACAAACAAACACAATGTATCAGTGTTAGTTTGTTCGTGCAGTTTATTACAGGGAGGGAGCTACCGGCGTGCAGCTCCCTCCTTGTAATATGTAACTATAGAAGCGGCAGGGAGCAGTGCTCCCCACCACTTCATAAGCCCCCCCCCAGTACCCCCTCTCACTCTATGGGGGTCAATATGACCCCCATAATAGCACAAGGGAGATTAAAATCTCCCAAATGCCCCTACTCGCTATACCGCGAGTAGGGGCATGTCTACTAAACAGTGAGCAGCCTATGGCTGCTCACTGTTGAAAAAAAAGACATAAATTACAATAAGGGGGGGCGGACCTATTGTCCTCTCCCCCCTCCCCCACCCTGAGCGGCGGGTGGGGGCCATGAAGATAATGAGGGGGGGGGGGACCTACTGTCCTCCCCCCCGGCCCCCACCCCTGAGCGGTGGGTGGGGGCCCTAATAAAACAATAAGTGGGGGGACCTACTGTCCTCCCCCCCTGGCCCCCACCCCTGCGCGGTGGGTGGGGTCCCCAGTAAAACAATAAGGGGGGGGGGACCTACTGTCCTCCCCCCCTGGCCCCCACCCCTGAGCGGTGGGTGGGGGCCCCAATAAAACAATAAGGGGGGGACCTACTGTCCCCCCCCCTGGCCCCCACCCCTGAGCGGTGGGTGGGGGCCCCAATAAAACAATAAGTGGGGGGACCTACTGTCCTCCCCCCTGGCCCCCACCCCTGAGCGGTGGGTGGGGGCCCCAATAAAACAATAAGGGGGGGGACCTACTGTCCTC